GCCTTCCTGGGATGCTGTGTGCACCCCCCGCACCCCGGCTCCCTCTGGGCTGGGGGTGCTGCCTGTGATCGTTACCAGGAGAGACCCCTTAGGTGTACTTTGGCATTTGATCTAACTGGGGGGCTTCTTCCGCCTCCCAGCAAGTCAGTCATTTTCAAGACAATTTGAATATTATGCCCCAAGGAGTTGGCTTCTCTGGAGCTCTCAGTACCCCTGGCCTTGAAACTCTACCCGACCCTCACCTCTTGGGTGCCTGAGAGACAAGGAGACTGGCCTGGTAGCTGCACTTTCAGCCTCCAGAAAAGTTGATCAAAGCTGGTTTTGAAGATCTGTCTGGTGTGGGGCGTTTTAGAGCAGCACCCATTACGGTTTTTTTGAAGGAGAAAAGTGCTGAGTTTTGATATCTAAATACAGGAAGTAAGAACAAGTCAGAGTTAGGCTGGGGGGAAGGATTGATTTGTTGCTGGAAAGGAAACAGGAGGAACTAGGTCCCGTGTGCAGGAATGGAGGTGGGGCCTCCCCTGCAGGAATGCTTCTGACTGAGAACCCTGGTGCTGAGAGGCGAGAGCTTGGGCTCCAGGAATAAAAACTTCTGTGGACGTTTCAGGAAATCAGACACATACCAGGGCAGGAGGTGTCCTCTGCTGGGCTCCAAGCTCCCTTGGGTCACTGTCCACATTCCAAGGGCCCTGGAGCGGGCTGGGCTGCAGCTGCAACAGGGAAGACTGGGGAAGGCGCAGCTTGGAGCATGGGGGACGCTGGGTCCTCCGGCCGCCTGGTGCTGCCGAAATGGTTTTTGGGAAAACCCTCCTGGAAGTCTAAGGCAGTTACCTGCCTTGGGGTGCGGGGTGCTCAGTAAATGCTGAAGGGGAGAAGGGGCCTCTTGGCTCTCTGCCGTTTGGTCACCCACTGACAAGCCATCTGTGACCCAGGTCAGAGTTTGAAGACCACACAGAGCGTTGTTGCCAGAACAGACAGCGCTTCCGGTGCCCTGGGGACTGCTTTGTTCTGAAGTGTCCGTCTCTGTTTCTCCCGAGGTCCCCCCCAGTGTTTCTGGATCGTACAGTTTGGAGTCAGAGGGACCTAAGGGGTCTGGGTCATCCTCTAGGATGGCAGTTCTCGAGGCACAGTGCCCAGCAGCAGCTTCACCTGGCAGTGTTAGAAATGCAGGTTCTTGGGGGCACTTCCTGGTGGCACAGTGGGTTAAAGCGCAGCACTCTGAAGCTGTCTACAGCCCCTGCAGCGTGAGTTCGATCCCCAGCCAGGGAGTGACCCACAGGGCACAGCAGGCCTCTCCTGTCTTCCCGCTGCTCCACTCAGTAGTGGATTTCAGTCACTCACCTGTTCTGTTCCCTGTTCTGTCTCTGGTGAATCCTCACCCCCGCCCATGCCTCTGGCCTGTGCACCAGTTCTTGTATGCATAAATAAATAAATCTTTTTTAAAAAGAAAGGGAGGAAAGAAATGCAGATTCTTGGGCCCTGCTCCAAGCCATCAGAACCGGGAGCCCTCCTGATGGAGCCCGGAGCCAGACAGACCACCCCCCGTGGTGCTGGGCTCGCAGCACTGAGAACTCGGGATTTAAAGCTCAGTGGCAAAAGCATGCAGATCCAGGATCCAGGTTGCCACCATCAGCTCTCAGGTCTGTCTGTAAAGTGGGCATGGTCGTAGCCTCAGAAGGGCTCTGTGAGAACTAGCATAAAGGCGCATGACAGGTCCTTACCAGGACATGCACACACGTGTGAGTACCCAGTAGGTGGTATCTTTTTAGGTCAGGTATTTTTTTAAACAGCAACGCAGGCAGGTGGCTGTCAGGTGATGGCAGAGTTCACAAGCTCTGGACAACCCCAGGGAGTGACTGTCGCATGAAGAGTCACTGTGTGGAGGAAGCGCCTTCCTGTGATGACCGCTTACTCTCAGTGGGGCTCTGGACTCGGGGCCTCAGAACATGGCTATTGCATGTGGCATTTGTCCTGAAGTTTGAGCTCCAACGACCTTGGCCCTTCTGAGCTCTCTCCTGTTCTGATCCGAGAGATTAACTAAAACAGAAGATACCTGAAACTAATAGGATTTTTTTTTTAAAGAAAGCCAAAAGGCGTGTGAGGCCGCTTTGTGTGGGCCTCTGGAGACTTCTGCGGGTGGACGTGCCTCAAGCTGAAGGGTGGCGTTTCTCAGGCGGACTTGCGGGCACGGACTAGCCCTGGGGCTGGCTCCTGGAGGGCCCTGCTGTCTGCTGGCAGGCGTGGCCGAGTCAGCTGGCATGTTCGGTGTGGGCCCGGGACCTCCTTGGCCGGCTGCCCCTGCTGTCAGGTGTCCTGTCCTCACCTGAGTCGCCGGCCCTTGTTCCCTGGCTGCCTTTGTGGTGCTGGTGATCCTCCCTGAGTTTGTGGTGTTTGTTTTTTTTTAATTGACGTCTAATTAATAGTTGTGATAAATTGTAGTGGGCAAGCAAATGCTGCCTTTCCTAAGTGATGCCATGGTGCTGTGTGGGGCAGTTGCCTTGCTATTTTAAAATGGGATTTCGTAAAACAAACATGCGTGCAGATCACAGGAAGTGCCGAGTGGATGATTAATAGATGCCGGGGAGCTGGCCTTGCACTTTCAAATGCTTCATCTTTGTGATCAGCCACGTCGGGAGGTTTCGGCAGGCTCCGCACCTCTGATGGCTCCCGGATAGCTAATTGGAAGCTTGGTCTCCGCGCTGTGGGGGCAGATGGTCATCAGGAAGCCAGGAAGAGGATGCTTCTGCCGGAGCCGAAGGTCAGGGCTGCTTGAAGCTGGTGATGGGCTGCGCTGCCAGGACCTGCCACCGCCCAGAAAGGGCCTCGCTACTCAGGCTCCTGGACTGTGGGCTTTGCCTCGCTTTCTGGAACTGTTTAAGATCCTGACGTTTGTACCGTCGTTTTCTTTGTATCAGAGAGGGCTGCTCTTCAGGGGAAGGCAAAAATAGGTAGAACATAGTTCCTGAGCCAACTGACACATACCCCGGCCTGCTAGAGTGTGGGTGATTCATCCGCAAGCTTGCAGTATGTGTCACCTGAGATGTGAAACGGGTAGGAGGTTTAAACATGTCTGAGAACAGTTTAGAAAAGTCACTGAGAAGACCGTCCGCTGTAAATGACCTGCCGGGTTTGGCAAAGTGGCCGTTCCTGACCTTGACTTTGGGTTGACAGCAGTGGTGTGTACCAGCTCTTAGCAGAAAGCTGAGGGCCCCGGGGCATTTTTTCTTGCAGGGAGGGGAGACTGTGACCTGGGCCCCTGCCTGGCCCACAAAAGTCAAGCATCCTCCAGAAGTTGAGGCGGCTCTGGACTCAGACCGCACTGCCTCCAGGCTGTGACTCGGGCCAAGGTCTTGACCGTCTCACCTCACTCTCCGGCCTGCAGTCTGTCCAGCAGCTGTGGCCACAAGGATTAGCTGTATCGCTGTCTGTTTCTCAAGGGAGTGGGGGGCGGATGGAAGCACTTTGCCTGGCTCAGTGCAGCAGCGGTGACTCCAAACAGGGATAGGGGGAGGCCGCCGCCTGGCAGGTGCTTCTGGGACCTCGAGTCTGTAGTATGGGGCAGGTCTCACACCAGTGCAGCGACGAGCTCCGTTGTCTCGGTTCGGCACTCCGTGTCGGAGGCCCGTGGTCGGCGCCATCAACTCCCTGCTCTCTGGGATGGAAGGTCTGTGCAGTTAACCACAGCTTTAAGTCAGGCAGTGGATGGCTCGGGCTTCAGTTCACCTGCCACACCAATCTGGGACCCCAGAAGCAGGCAGGAAGGCAGCAGCAGCTTGTATCTGGCCTCTCGGGGGTCTGCTAACTGACTTGAGGGCCTAGTGCTCTCTCACTGCCTGGTGTCTTGTGGGCTGCAGTGGGGCCCACGGGCTTCCTCGGTGCCCTCAAAAGCAGTCTTCTGAAAGAACCTGGTGGTGGTTGGCCCTCGAAGTCAGTCCCCGCTTGACTGTACAGTGATTTCATGGCCCTGAGGGCATGGACTTCAGGTTTCCCTTCCCAGAGGCCAGGGTGGGCCGTGATGAGAACTGGGCCCGGGTGATGTTCCCTCATGTGGCATCTCACCGTCTGCGGGGTGCTTTATTGCATGTTAGCACCTGGCTCCTTTCTTTACCTAGATAAGTTCCTGAAAGCTCATACAGTTTGAGGTAAAAACCTCACAAACGAACAAGAAAGAAGAAATAGAAAATATCTGATCTGGAATTAGGAAAGTGGTTTTCAAAACCTAACATTTTTAAATGATGTATTTTAAACATTTCAGTAGGTAAAATTAGAAGATAAAAATGTATAGAACACTGACATAACACATGACATACTCAGAGCCCCCCGTCAAGTCCAGAATAAGAAGACCCGCGCCTGGGGAAAAGTGGAGGGAAGTGTGAGTAGGATTCACATAGTGAGAGGCCCGTACCGCCAAGGATCTCTGGAAGATAGTTCTGCTTTCTTTCTAACAGTGAAGGCTTAGGGAAAGCTGAGTAATGAGCAATAGGACTTTTTAAAATGTTATTGCATTCTCAATTAAAATTCAAGAATATACATCAAAATGTAGACAAACTGCTGTTGTTGAAGTTTTTCAAAAACTTAAATGAATATGGGCCCTCCCCTGGTGGTGTAAGAGATTAAAGCGCATCTTTGCAAAGCTCGCCACAACCGCTTCAGCACAAGCTCAATCCCCGCCCTGGAAGGTGACCCACGTGGCACAGCAGACCTCTCCTGTCTCACCCACTGCTCCCACTCTGTGTCTGCTGAATTCTCTCGCTGCCTCTGCACCTCTGGCTGTACCCCAGTATTGTATGCATAAATAAATAAATTTCTTTTTATTTAAATGAATAAGAAATGGAGGGCAACTGCATTGAGGCATCTAGAAAAATCCAGACTGCCTCGCCCTGTTTCTCTTCTGGTGGGTGCCTTATGGAGTTCCCTGGCGCTCCCCTTCTGTCCTCGGGTCCCATCCTTCTTATTCTCTTTCTGTTCTTCTCCTGAGATACCTATTCATTTGCCTGCAGGACTGAGCACTGAAGGCATCTACCGGGTCAGCGGGAACAAGTCAGAGATGGAGAGTCTGCAGAGACAGTTTGATCAAGGTAAGGCCGCCGCCTGGCCCTGAAGCAAGCTGGAGCCTCGCTAGGCCGGGCCCACGCCCCTGCCAGACTGCCTGTGCGGGCCCTGCCCACACTCATCCCGAAGCCAGGAAGTGCCGGCTTGGTGACTGAGAAAGGCGAACACACTGAGCCCCACACAGCCTGGCCTCCCGCGTCACGCTGCCACAGAGGCGGCGGGAAGGCAGCGTTCCTGCTCCCCACACCTCCAGCAGTTTGGTCAGGCCGCACTGGTCAGGCCAGGCAGAGCAGTGGTGGGCATGTACCATGAAGCTTGTGTGGAGACAAAGATCCTGGTTTCCCAGGGCCCTGGGTATCAGGAGCCCCCTCGCCCACAGTGACCCTCCTCCCAGAGTCCCTGCAGCAGTGAAGCATAGTGAGGGGACACTGTGTGACAGCTGGATGGACCCAGACTCTCCCAGCTGCACTCTCAAGCGTTACATGGGCTCTTGGCAGAGACTCCTGTCTTCCTGGGCTAGGTCAGCTTTGAGAGGCCTAGAGCCAGACAGCCAAATCTGTTTCACCCTAACCCGCAGCCAAGCTCACTCTTAGAACTGAGCATCCGCTGAGCACTGAGAAGTCCCCGCCAGCACCAGCAGCACGCCAGCCAACACGGTAAAAGTTCTCCGGTGCCCGGCCAGGGAGGAAGCTGAGCCGGGATTAATATGTCCCGCTCTGCCCAGGCCAGGCCTGCGTGGCCAGGCTCAGAGAGCAGGAGCAGACCCCGCCTCCGTGCCAGGTGCCTGGTTCCGGCGCCCGCTCGTCTGCAGGCTGGAGGCTGAGGCCAAGGCGCTGGGGCCTCGCGCCAGGCACGCCAAGAGTGGACGCTGCGGTTCCTGTCCGTGGCCGACCCCCACAGACTAGCTCAAGCCCATGATTCAGACTAGAGGCAGGGTTGGGGTGGTGTCGTAGTTTGGGGGCGCCAAAGGAGAAGAACGAGTCCGCAGGTCCTGCTGGCTGAGGGCGAGCAGTGACAGAGGCGGCAGCTCGCACTGGCGCTTCCGTGACCCTGGTGAAAGTAGCCTCTGCTCTCCCTGCGCAGGGCCGGGGGAGTGGTGTACACGAGGGTGGCAGCCTGTCCAGACCAGACCAGGGGCCAGAGGCCTCCAGAAACAGGGAGGAAGGATGCAGCTCCTGTACTCGGGGCGACCGTGGTGGGAGCCAGGGGTGTCAGCCTCTCCGTGGCCCCCAGACATCTTTAGCAGGCCCCCACACAGATCTCGCGCCTCAACTCCTGACAGTGCTGGTCCCTGCCCAGTTCCAGGCCAGCCGCAGGGGTCCCCGGGGCCCTCCTACCCCTCAGGTGCCAAGTTTGCCTTCTGCTTCCGCTCAGCTTGGGTCACTGTGCTCACTCTTCCGACTTCTTTTCAGACCACAACCTGGACTTGGCAGAGAAAGACTTCACGGTGAACACTGTGGCCGGCGCCATGAAGAGCTTTTTCTCAGAACTGCCGGACCCCTTGGTCCCATACAACATGCAGATCGACCTGGTGGAGGCGCACAGTGAGTCTCGGCCCCTGCGTGGCTCTAGGGCCCGGCAGCACCCTAGACTGACTGTGTTGGCCAGGCTGAGACAGTGGCATACAGCTCCCCTCAGGAAGTGGGCACTCGGGGTTTTGGAGCTCACATTTGAAGGCCTTGAGAAAGGGGACTTGGAGATCAGAGCCCGGCCTTCAGAGCTGCAGGTCCTCTCAAGACCGCTGCAGGAGAGGAGCCTCGTAGCAGGCTGGGGAGGGCCCGGCTCTGCCCCTTGCTCACAGTCGCGTGGCCAGTGCAGCCTTCCTGGCTCTTTGCTCCCGTTAGGATATGGAGGCATCGGGAAGGGCTGAGGCTTCCTGTCCTTCCTCCCTCTCCTCTCGTCTAAGGAAGTGAACGCTGTGCTGGGTTAGCCAGCCCCCGGGCAGCCCGCTCTGGGAGGGGGCGGGGCAGCACCCGGGGCCTCTGTAGCTGCTCGCTCGGGGCTGCCGTGGGTTGGCACTCAGGGACTAGTGGTGACTTTCACACGCGGTCGCTCCGCCTCACGCTGTGCGCACAGTCTACCTCATTCGTCCACCGCCGGGATCCTGTCGCTGGGCAGCTGTGCTGACCCCATGCAGTGCTGCAGCCCTTGGGCTTGCCAGGCCAGTACCAAAAGCAGCTGTTGCAGGGCTGCCCGAGAAGGGCGTGTCTGCAGCAGCGGGATGGAGAGGGGTGGGCCTGGGGCCCGCGCACATTGGTCTCGCCAGCACCCGGCTCAAGAGCTGTCAAGCAGGCACTGTCCACTCACAGGCTAATGGGGAGGGTCAAGGGGGGAGGGGGGCATAGCTGCAGTCCTGGGGCACAGACTTAGTAGTGGCAGCGCCCACCTCTGAACTGTGAGGTGCCCTGTCAGCGCCCGAGCGTAGCCCCGAGGCTGCAGGGCCCGAGTCACTCCCGTGATCTCCTTTTCCTCGGGCTGCCTAGCCCTGCCATCTGGGGCGAAGACACTGAAATCACTGCGGCTCCTGCTAGCCGAGCCTGGGGCCCTGGGGCTGTTGTGCGCTGCCTGGCCTCTGCATGTGCCTGAGGAGACAGGAGTCCGGGACACGAGCTTCAGGGCATGAAGACAGCAGTGGCCTGTGTTCCCCTCTGCCAGCCAGAGAGAGAGAGGCGCCCACATACACATAGTCGCTTTCCTGCTGACTCCTGGCGGCCCAGGTGCGGTGTGCCAGGAAATCTACCTGGAGCCACTGTTTCTCCCCCAGCTTGTCTCTGGGCGGAAGTTAGGGAAAAGAAGGTGTGAACGGGAGCTGGGGGTGCTGGCAGCATTTCGGCATTTGTCTGGACTTGGCGCCATCTAGAGGCCGGTCGGGTCCTGGCACCCTGTGGTGGCCCATTGTTTCTGCGGGAACTGCTGACATGGCATCTTTTTGTTTGGGGAAGGCTGAGCTGGAGGCTGTATTGATAGGCAATCACTGCCTTTCCTACAGCAGCTTCCGCTAGCTTCTGCTGAAGAGTGAGCTTCTTGCTGCTACTGCAGCCTGGAAAAGGGTGGAGATTTTCCGCTTTCTCTTCCCATTGTGTGTTTCCTGTGCCCCAAGCTCAGCTGGGGCTCTGTCTTGAACGTGGCGGAGGGAATGTGTCTCCCTGACAGGGCGCCTCTCGTGACAGAGCGCCTGCATGAAGAGGACTCTGCCTGTCACAGGTCAGAGCACTGCCCAGGTAGTGCCCAGGTCAGTATTAAGGGACCTTACAGAACGAAGATTCTCGAGCTCCAAAGTAGCTATTCCCAGCCGGTCTGGGTTTCCATGGCAACATCACCTTTTCTGGCTCTTTGCACTAATACCTAAGAGCCGTCATGTCTGTGTGTGTTCAGGGCTTAGAAATGGTTTCAGATCCCATTACAACAAATACCAAGGTCACTCTCAGATTGTTTTGCCGGCTCCAGAATTTCATAATATTGAACATTGCTGAAACTGTCACAAAATAGGTCTTTGTGATTGTTCCACCATTGTCCGTGCCGTGTTCAAGGTGATGTGTGGGAGATTCAGGCAGGAAGGACCCTCCGGGAGAGCACCCCAGGCCCAGATGTCCTGGCTCATGCCCCATTCCTGACCTCCCCGGGTACACTGTCACCTGCCAGGCAGAGTGAAGCCACCAATCTGGAAGTGCAGGGAGGAGCAAGACAAGGTAAGGGCTTCACGGGAGAGGCAGCCTCCGAGCTACAGCCCAGGTAGAACCAGGATTTCGGGAGGGAGTGGGAAAGGCCTGCGCCGCCCTGGGCCGCCGCAGCTCACACTGCTGCTTGCCTTTGAGCAGTGCAGCAGGTGTTTGTGCCACATGCTGTCCTCTTCATCCACAACGTCCCTATCTGGCACCCTCCAGTCCGCCCGAGGGCCCTGTGTCAGCCCACAGGTTCTGAGCTGGACCTTTGACTCCAGGCCTGTCACTGCTTATAAAGGTCCCTGTGCACATTGTCGTCTGCAGTAAAGACCAGCAGCTTTCACCAGCTTGTCAAAGGCATGTGTGACCTGAATGGCTCAAGCCCATGGGTCATCATCTTACCCTTTCCTTTAAGTGGATGAGACAGCTCAGGACTAAATATGATAGAAGAGGCCTCCCTGGTGTCCTAAGGGCTATCACTGCTATGGCCAGAGCTTGATCCCCGGCCAGGGAGTGACCCACAGCATACAGCAGACCTCTCCTCACCCGCTGGCTGCTCTCCTCAGCAGCGTACTTCGTCAGTTGGCCTGTTCTGCTCCCCACTCTGTCTCTGGTGAATCTGCTGAAACCGCCCCCCCCGCCCCCACCCCGCACCTATAGCCTACACCCTAGTTCTTCTGTGCATAAATAAATAAATCTGTAAAACAAAATGATAGAAGTCCGACATGCCAAGGCCACCAGGCAGGCTGGTCTGCTCTGAGTCACGTGCTGCCGAGGCGCTGCTGATTCGGGTCCTTGTAAGGACACCGGCTCCCCCTCAGGCCCTGCATGCTGAGCCAGCTCGTGTGCAGCCTCAGCCCCTCTCAGTCTGCAGGCCGTGCCTCCCTCCAGGAGAAGGCCTCCAGCATCTCCCATTCTGGGCCGTGGAGTCCTCCAGCGACTGAGCAGGAGGTGGCATTGCACGCCCACCTGCCCTGTCCGGGGGCATCACCTGATCCCGGGGCTTCCTTTTCTGGGAGGGTGATGTTCAGAGGCAGTGAGCGACTCTCGCAGGTTTGTGTCAGTGGCTGCAGCCACACCTAGTGCCCGGGTAACTGCCTGGCACCGGGAATGGCAGCAGAGGCCTGGCCAGGCAGAAACGGCGTTTGGGTCCAGGGTCCTTGCTTCTTTGAGCTTTAGCTGGTCTGCTTTTTGTGACCAGCCAGCAGCGAGCTCACCTCTGAGGTCCCCATGACCTGTGCTGCCCCTCCTCCCAGGGAGGACCCCAGGCTCGTTGGGTCTTGTTCTCACCAGGCCAGTGTGTTCGTCCAGATTTCATCTTGTTCCCTGCCTGAACATGCCTCTCCTGAACCTGTGTTGCCTTCTCAGGTGACTGAGTTCTCACTTCCAGGGTGCAGAGCATTAGATAGCGAGACCCGAGCCTTAGCAGGCCTCCCAGACAACGGGCTCTGGGGTCGGAGGTAGTGAATTTGGAGCGAGCGCTATGTGCCGAGTGGCAACGGTGCCCAGAGCCGGGGTGCGGAGCGCCTCTCACCAGCACCAGGGGACCCAGCCCAGTGCCAGCCCTGCCGGAGCCTGACCAAGCCGAGGCTGCCAGCCTGAGCTCAGCGGGTCCTCCACCCTCAGGGGCTGACGGGCTGCGTGCTGTGGGCGGAGGCTGCCTGTGCACCAGAGGCTTCCCTGGGCACCCTGTGATGGCGTCTCCCTGGATTCTGGGTCCGAGCTGGGCCATGCAGTGGTGGGAGAGGGTGTAAGGGACTGGGCCGCCTGCACCTTAGGGGCTCCATGCTGATGTTCCGCCTGTAGAGATGGTCCCCTCCCCCAAGGAAGGCAGGAAGGAAGCCTCTGGCTTTGCTGACTGGCTGCTCGGCAGCAGGGAAGGAGCCAGGGCGTCCCCAGCGCATGGAGGCCCTGCAGCCCTGTTTCCTGCCTTTAGCCAGGGAAGTGAGACAGGCTTCTGTGCTAAGGTGCTGCTGGGAGCACCTGACCAGAGCCCACACACACGGCATGGTGCCAGGCATGTACCTGCACGAGCTGCTCAGGGCCACACGTGAGCTTCTTGTGGTTTCCAGTATAGCCACTTGACTCCCCAAAGTATATGCATGTTGTTGTTGTTTTTTAATATAAAAATTTCCAGTAGGAGCCCTCCCTGGTGGTGCAGCGGGTTAAAACACGGCACTGAGAAGCCAAAGCCACTTCCGCATGAGTTCAATCCCCGCCTGCCCAGGAGGTGACCACATGCGTGGCAGACCTCTCCTGACCCGCCCGCTGCTCCCCTCAGCAGTGTACTTCGTTGATCTGCCTGTTCTGCTCCCCGCTCTGTCTCTGGTGACTCCTGTCACCCTCCACATCTCTGGCCTGTACCCCAGTTCTGTATGAATAAATAATCTTTTTTTTTTTTTTTTTAATTTCCAGTAGGGTTTCTTAAGATGCATTTATTTGTGCACACAAGAAATGGGGTACAGGCCAGAGGCGCAGGGGTTGAAAGGATTCGCCAGAGACAGAGTGGGGAGCAGAACAGGCAGATGGACTGAAACACACTGCCGAGGGGAGCAGCGGGGAGACAGGAGAGGTCTGCTGTGCCCTGGGGGTCACTCCTAGCCGGCGATCGAACTCATGCCGCAGTGGCTACAGACAGCTTCATAGTGCTAAGACACCAGGGGAGACCCAATGTGAAGTTTTTATTGAAGTTCAACAGTAAGGGGTTTTGAAACTCAAGACCACAGAGAAAGTTTGCCATAGAACTTGAACATTAGCAAGTCTGTGTCACAAGTACAAAGCTGACAGCGGCTCTAGAGAATCAGTTCTTGTGACCATTCGGTTGTTTGCTAATAGACACAATGTCACCAAGATGGTGTTTCTATCAAGTCAAATGTTCAAGGTAAAAAAATCGATCTAAGTTCATGTCTGCCAGCCTGCCTGGGCCTCGATGGCTCACACTGCGTGTTGGAACAGCTCCCTCACGCCAGTTCCCTCCAGTCTGACCCCCGTGAGGCTCTTGTATTGTGTCTGGCTGTGAGCGCCCCACTTTACAGTGTGTCCCCGAGCAAGGGAGCCCACCACCGGCCCTTAGATGAAGCAGGAGCCGGGCTCACACGTCACGCCCCGGGCTCTGGAGCTGGCTGTATCGGAAACCAACTTGGGCCACTTTGGGGGCAGGTGGGGGCTTGGGCTCTGACACCGCAGCTGGCTGTTCACATTCCCTGCCCATCCACGTTCCACTCAGACCACCCTCCTCATGGTGCTTCTACAGGCTGGAGGCTCCGGGCTTCCGGGGGTTGGGGCACCCACACGCCTCCAGGAATGGCGAGCAGATTTGGACCTGACTGACGTGGGGAGAAGGTCTAGAATACTGATCCATCCCAAAGATGACCCCAGCCAGTCAGGGACCATCGTATGCCCTAATGTGCCCCCACTTGGGACTCCCCATGGTTATCTGAGCGTGGCCTCGGGCTGCTAACCCTGCCGTGGGGTAGGCACCGAACCAGGCCGGGCCCAGCACACCGTCTGGTTAGCCTGGCTTCATGCTCCGCTACCGCGGACTCCACGATGGGGGGGGGGGGTGCGTGGTCTCTTTGACGGGCTGCCTAAGAATTCCCCCACTGTTTCCTCGGCTCCTCCAGCAAGTAGATGTGTGAGGGTCCCTGTGACTCCAGGAAAAGGACAGAGCCCAGGCCTGTGACAGGCCCCTCCCCAGGCCGTCTGGTGGCGTGGGCGGGTGGCGTGCTCGCCCGTCTGCTCAGGAAGCCAGCAGGCTTTCTGCCTTGGCAGGCTGTCTCCAGGGGCAACCAGATGAGCGAAGAATGGCGTTCTTTATGGTGGAGCCTCCGGGTCGTGGAGTCTTCAGGGTGGGAGCCAGGAAGCCCCCGGCACACAGTGCTCCCCTTCAGCAGTGCCCAGGGCCCAGAGGTGGGCCTGGCCCTGCCTGTGCCGCTGCCAGGTGTGCGGGGCTGGGCACAGGCTGCGGGAGAGCAGGGGCTGTCTCGGGAGGCCCACAGGTGGCTGCCTGCTTCTAACAGTGCAGCACCCCTACTTGCTCTGAGCCCTACAATACCTACCCACCTGCTTGGTCATAAAAATTTGGTTTTCTCGTTTCTCAGAAATCAACGACCGGGAACAGAAGTTACATGCCCTTAAGGAGGTACTCAAGAAGTTTCCAAAGGAGAACCATGAAGTCTTCAAATACGTCATCTCCCATCTGAACAAGTAGGTCCCGGGACTGCGTCTGGGCTTCCCTCTCACAGACGCCCAGCGGTCCCCTCCTCCCTGGGGGCACATCTGGCTCACACGTGTGTCCTTGACATGGCGCCTCAGCCTTCTGTCCTGATGTGTCCGGAAGAGGCCCACGTGGTCCCCAGCACGCCAGTGTCCTTTCCAGACACAGCGGTGCGTGGAGATGTGTCTTCCGGCAGGCCTACTCCGCTCTTGGCTAAGGGTGCCTGTGGCGCTGCGGCTGGGGACTGGCTCCCGCCCTGCACACCTGGGCCCTGGGTGATGTGGGTGAGAGGCCCCCGGCTGTCCGTTCACTGGCAGGAGCAGGGCTGGGGACTCCTGTGAGCCTGGGCCTCACGACCACCCTCAGGGGCTTCTGGAGAGAGGTCGGGGCACGGGGCCGCAAGGCTGAGGGAGGGTGACAGAGTTGCGGGGTGACGGTGGCTGAGTGCACTTGGGGCGAGGCAGGGCCCCCGCCTTCGAAGCGCTGACCTGAGTCTGGTGTCGCCTGCAGAGTCAGCCACAACAACAAGGTGAACCTCATGACCAGTGAGAACCTCTCCATCTGCTTCTGGCCCACCTTGATGCGCCCTGACTTCAGCACCATGGACGCCCTCACGGCCACTCGCACCTACCAGACAATCATTGAACTCTTCATCCAGCAGTGCCCCTTCTTCTTCTACAATCGGCCCATCAGTGAGCCCCCCGGGGCCACGCCCAGCTCCCCCTCCACCGTGGCCTCCGCCGTCCCCTTCCTCACCTCCACTCCTATCACCAGTCAGCCGTCACCACCCCAGACCCCTCCACCTACCCCCCAGTCCCCAATGCAGCCACTGCTCCCCTCCCAGCTTCAAGCTGAACACACGCTGTGAGCCGCTGTGGCCTGGGCGAAGGAGACTCTTCGATGGGGCGGCATTTGGCCTTGAACAAACCAGTTCCTGAGGCAGGCGTGTCCGCGCCCCTGTGACCTCCTCGCGGCCTCAGCTGTAGCACCAGCCAACAGCAGACCATTGGCTGGGGCGGGCGCCTGCACCCCGCACTGCAGCCTGGGGCAGGCAGCCCAGGCGCCACAGGCCCTGCCCTTTGACTCGCCCCGGAGAAGGGACTGGCTGGGCAGGGCCTCCGCGCGCCCACTGCTTCAGCCTGCCCCCGGCATGCTCACACCAGCAGCCTCCGGCGCTTGCCCGCAACCTGGACAGAGCCCTGGCCTGGGAGGAGGAGGAGGAGGGGCACGATTCAGACTTCCCGGGCAGCCTGGCGGCCCCTGAAGAAACCACTTCCCGTCCCTGTCTCTTTCCGCCTTCCGTATCTGTACCCCCACCCCACGTGGGGCGTCCAGCCAGTCTAGCAGCTTCTTGGGAACACTTACAGGCCACACTCTGCGCCCCACGGCGCAGCGCTGAGCCACCACCTCGCGGTGAGGGCAGCGGGGGTGGCGGCCAGGACCAAGGGGCGCACCGCCCCACCCCTCGGGCCTCTGGACACATTCCCCTTCAACAAAGGAACACTGGAAGAAAAATGGAAACCCCTCCAATAATTTAAAAAAGAAAAGGAAGAAACTACAAGAAGAAAACTACAAACCTCAAGATTCAGCTCTCTTCCCGTCTCTGAGAGGCAGACTGGCGGGAACCCACCTTATCCTGTGACGGGAAAACAAGGGTGCCGGGGGTGAGGGCTCCCACCTTCGTCCTGTCACCAGGTCCCTCCCCAAGAAGACGGTCTGAACTTTCGGGGGGAAGAGCCAGGGAGACCGTGGGGCCCGCCCGGGCCCTGGTCTGCCTCGGGGTACTGCGGGCGGCGGGAGCACTGCCCTGTGCCGGGTGCCGAGTGTCTGGTGTGACGTGCAGCCGGTGCACCCCGGCCCGAGGATGCCGCCAGCCAGGGAGCGTGGTGGGCGGGGAGCCCTGAGGTGGGTGGTCCGCTGTGCCCATGCAGGCCCAGAGGCGCTAACACTAACAGCGAGCCCCAAAGCCCCTGGGCGCGGGCCCAGTGCCTTCGGCCCAGCCTCTGCTCCTCCCGGCCCCTCCCAGGACTGGCCTCCTGGGCCCTGCAGAGCCCTCCCGGTGCCCAGCTCTGCCCCGACACGGCACCCGCAGGGGCCGCTGCCCGCGCTGCCTGCCCCCACTCTGGTGGCTGGGCGAGGCCTCCGCGAGGGGCCCGGGTGGGGGCAGGGGCCCACAGCCACCCGGCCTCTGGGTCTCTTTGCACTTTAAGAAGCGGCACCTGTGGCTGGCCCTGGCCGCCCCGGGCTGAGGGCAACTTCAGCGTGCCTGAGCGCGGTCACGTCCGAACGCCCCGCAGCCCCCAGCCCTGTGGCTGTGGGAGGCCGGGTAGGCTTCTGCCCACTGACTTCTCCTCTGGGTAAGCTGGACGTCCTCCTGCTTCTAGTTCTCATGTGGCAGAATAAGGTGCTTGGAAAAACTAAATTATCCTTGCTGGTTTTACCGCCTCTTAAAAAACACAAGTCAAAAAACAAACCCAAGGTACATGAATGTTCTCTGTGGTGTTCACTGATGGGTTTTTCTCTGCTGCTGGCCCGGGCCTGGAGCCCGGCTGGCTCGGCGAGGCCCGGCCTGAGCTGTGGCTGAGGTGGGCAGACCCTGGGCCCTGGTGCCGCCCCCGATCATTGCTCAAGCCCCAGGCGGGTGAGGCAGTTGCTCCACTGAATGAATCTTGACCTTTTTCTGGCTGTGCTCACCCCTCCTGGGGAGCCTTTCAAGGCTTTGGGTGGGGTGGAAAACCCCAGGGGGTGGCCTGGGGCCACTGTCCCTTTGTGAACTAAAGCAGAAGTAGCCCTGTCTCCCCCGTTTCCTGGTAGCGCCCCGCCTCCCTCTCCCGCTGCTCTGCCCCCAGAGACCTGCCAGTTGGGTGACTTCTCTGGTTGTGTTGCCCTGGGCGGGGTGCAGGGACCTGGCGTCTGTGCTTGGCACCCTCACTCCTGGGCAGGTAGCAGGAAGCTGGACTAGGTGGGCCCACGGGACCCCTGCACCCCAGCGAGCTGCCCCGGCTCCCCAGGGTGCAGCAAGGCTGGTGCCGGGCCCTGAAGCAGCGGGTTGGCTTCTCCGAGGTTTCCTCTCCTGGCCGCCTCCAGCCTCCTCCCAGCTGACAGACTGGAGGCAGCGGCGCTTGTTGCTTCGCGCCTCACACCCCATGGGCGCGTGGGGGGACGTGCTGACCTTCAAGGCACAGACCCCTCGGGTTCATCTGGTTCGCTCAGCCCCGGGAAGTGCACCCCAGCTCAGGGTAGCTGGAGGGGCCGGCGGGGGTCTGCATTCAGTGCCCCCACCGAGGGTGCCGTGGGCTGAGCCGCGCAGTGCTGGATCGTCCTGTGACCTTGTCTTAGCCGCACATCGGGTGTCACCCACATTCACCCTCACGTGCTGTCAAGCCCCCCCACCTCTTGACACCCGCGGAGCCACGTGGAGAGCGCCAGCTCAGGTCCCAGCTCCTGCCTTCCGCTGAGCAGGGATGCGCTGGGGTGCGCGAGCTTGTGGACCACCCGGAGAGCAGCGCCCGCCAGAGCCCCCTGCCGCGGCTTCCCCTGCGCGGCCCCCCCATCAGGGCAGGAGGCTGGGGCGGCACCCCCGGCCGTGGCATTCTAACCTCAACCCTGAAACTTGAAAACCAGCGCTTGGCATTTTGATCTCAGCCCTCTGCCCTCCCTGCTGGCTGGAAAGCGCGCCGCACCACTGGGTGCCCGGAGGAGGCCCGGGCAGCGGGAGGTGGGCTCGGCAGCTGCCCTGCCTGCTGAAGGAGGCCCCAGGGACCTGGTGCAGTGGCTGGGAGTCCCCTCCGTCACCCTAAGTGAAGGGGCGCGTGCCGGGCGCCCCACGCCTTGCTGGCTCCGCAGGTAGTGGGCAGCGGAGTCGCCTTCAGCCGTTGCCGCAGGTTCGGGCCACCCGATGTGCTTGGGGCGCGGATGGACAGTCACCCCGTCCCTGTAATGGCCCGCGGGCTGCCTGGAAGCCCCGGGAGGGCCCTTCCCCGCCGTCACCTCCCCGGCAGGACCCCTGGGGCCTGCCTGGTCTGCGGGGGCGGCAGCCCCCAGCCACCGCCCTGCGCACAGAGCAGCGATGTCAACTTCCATGTAGTCGAGACAGGGCGTAAGTTATTGTTTGCATAAAAAGAATCATGTTCCCTGTGTACATTTAAAAAAGGAAATGTCTGAATTGTATGGGAATAAAATTGTTTGAAAATTCGGAATAGTGCTGCTGCCAGCTTATTTTTCTGGTACTTGTATTTTCACATGTTAAATGATCTTTATATATGTTGAATTAACAAATATTTTGAGTTTCCTGAGAAAAACAAAAGCATATTAATGGTATTGAAATGTGTTAGTAGTCTGGCCATGTGCCCAAAATTCTGTTTCGCAGCAAAGTGGAGAACTGTATGTAAAGAAAGTATAACAATTATTTCTTTGTATCTTCGGGGCTTTAACCAGGACATCCTCTAGCTGGTGTTAGGAATGTTTGCTTCATTTCCAGACTTTCTTTGTAAACAGTCCTGGGTTTGAGGCCCCGGCCTGATTAGTGCATGGCCAGCTCTCAGCCGAGGCTGAGGTGTCTGACTGACGTGTTTTTGTTTGGTTTTGTTTTTTAAAATCATGTATTTGCTACAAAGTATTGTACTTGTCTCAATGGGAATGGTGTAAAAAACTGAAAAGGCCTTATGTGATATGTATCATAGTTAATAAATCAATCTTGTAAAAAACCAAAGCTGAGAGATGAAGGTGGCCCTCCCCGGCCACTGCCTCCCACACACGCCCAGCGTCCCCGGGGCCTGGGCCCGGCCTGGTGGAGGACCGGAGGACCGGCAGGAGGCGAGGCCCCTTGCCACAAGAGTAGGCCCTTGCACCCCGCAGGGAGGCCACGCTGTCCTGCCACCCTGACCCTCCCCTCCGGCAAGTGTGTGGGAGCAGAGCTCAGCCTGGCCACGGCAATTGGCCACAGGACAACCCTGTGGCCTTCCCCCATGGTGGGGTCAGGCAGTGACAAGCCGAAGGCCAGAACCTGGCGCCTCTCCAGACTGGACAGAGCTCACCTGTCCCACCCCCGTTCAGGACAGCACCTCGGGTGGAGGTTGGTCGGGCCCCCGAGGAGTCTCCCCGCGAAGGCTGCATCTGCTATGGAGGCCCCTCCCCATGCCACCGCAGCCCAGAGTCCTGCCCCCCATGCTGGCCCTGTCACCAGGTGGCCACCCGGGCCCTCGCCTGTGACCCCCTTCGCGGCCCAGGCGTCCAGGAGAGAGGCCCGCCGCTGCCTCAACCTGTGGCCGCGTGTGCCCTGCTGCAGCCATCCCGCCTACCTGGCTCCCTGCCTGCCGCCCCTCTGGCCTCCCCTCTGGGCCCAGCCCGCCCTCCTGCCACTCCGCAGTCACACTGCAGCCTCCGAGTCGCCTGGTTCCTGAACACGGCGCCTTCCTGCGACCAGATCTGCGCGGGTGCTGGGCGCCTGCCTGAGGCAGCTTATGGGCCCAGGCGCAGGGCTGCCTCAGAGCCCGTCTTCCTCTGGAAGCTCTCCCGCACCCTTTTGCACACTGACTCACCAGCATGTGCTCCTTCCCTGCTCTGGGGTGTATGGGCCCACATAAACGCCTCACATCGTCCTTTAAGAAAGTATTGACAGTGTGCAGTAGGCGTTCAATATTGTGCCAACAAGATGTAGTCGACGTTCAAGTCATGGATACTTTACCTCCCGGCCCCACCCACCACTGTCCAGAATTCCGGGGGTGTGGAGTCTGTGCCCCTCGGGTGTCAGGGCACCTGGGACGCGCCAGCCAGACCTCCGGCCCCTGCACACGTGACAGGCTGGCGACACTCCACAGCCCTCCGTGGGGCACCTATGCTCTCTGCGCCCGGCCCCATGCTCCCCCACAAGCCAGGGCCCTGGAGGCTGTCTCGGGGTGTCTGGCCCTGCCCAGCGGCCCAGCCCACCTCCAGCTTTCCCTCCCACCCGCCACCTGACTCACACCCCTCCACTTTGCCCCATATCCAGCCTCCTTGGCCATCTTGTCTCACCTCTGCCCTTACAAGCCCTAGACCTTACAGGGTGAAGCCTGAACTCCAGCCGTCCCTGTGACTGCCAACCCCAGGGGCCCATCTTGCTCCCTGCTTCCAGCCACCCTGTCTCCCCCAGCACCCCTCACACCTCAGATGTGTTCCCTCCTGAAACACCGCCCTCCCCCTCAAGAGGCCCCCTGACTCCCACCAAAATAGGTTCCTTTGCTTTCAAGAAAAGTTTCTTTAAGAGCCTTGGCTCAGCTCGCTCCTCATTCAGATGATCGCATTCACCGTGTCACCCTGTTTGCTGCACAGCCACTCCTGGCCCGCAGGGGCATGGCCAGGAGCTGACAGTCAGCAGGACAGCTGGCCTTTGCTCGTCCTTCATGTGTGCCTTCATGGCAGGTGCAGGTAAGAGCTAAGTGGGTTGACGGGATCATGGCTGTTACCTCAGGTAATCCGGAAGGCTTCCCCGAGGAGGTGAGGAGGAGATGGTGGCGTGCCTCACCTCCAGTACCAAGCTTCCAGGGGATGGTGAGAACTCAGAGGTTAAGATGAAAATATTGCAGTTTAATGTGTTGTTTTTTGTTAATGCAAAAAAAAATTGCCATGAGCAGAATGATGAAGACAATCCTGTAGTCATGCCCAGCTTTGTCGGAACCCAAGGCCCGGGAGACACAAGCTAAGATGGGGGGGGGGGGTCGTCGCCTGGGGCTGACCAGAGCAGGGACAGTGGGTGGGGAGAGTGGGATTCCCGGAGCCTCGGGGGTCAGGAAAGCAGAATTTGCTCAAGGGAGGAGGTGGGGTTGACTCCAAGGAGACATCACAATGGCTTCCCCTGTGACACCCACCAGGGGAGGGTCTGCCTCCCCCTGCAGCCTCACCCAGTGGGTGGAACGGGCGGAGCGCCTGAGCCCGGGCCTGGGAGTGTGGCGTTGCTCCACGCGGCCACCAGGGGTCAGCAGAGCGCCGCCCGGCCCAGCGCGGGTAGGTCCCGCAGGGTCGAAGCGGGTATTGAGGGAGGGGGCTGGGGAAAGCGAAATCCAAAGGAGGGGGTGCGGCCTATAGAGCAGCGGGTTGTGAGAAATGGAGTTGGACGTGTCTCTGCAGCCCGCCCGCCAGCCAGCCAGCCATTTATGTCGTCAGTCGTGGAAAGACAGGGTGCTTGCAGGGCAAGACAATAAAGTTGAAGTTTGTCCTGAGGGCACTGGGAAGCCAAGGTTGTGACTGATCAGCGGAGAGACAGTGGGGTCCGCAGGAGCGGAGAGCTGGCAGCAGGAAGGGAAAGCTGGCAGCAGGAAGCCGGGATCCAGGAGATGCAGTTTGCAGGCTCTTCCCACCTACCGGCATTGAAGAGCACGCAGGTGACGTAAAGGTCAGCAAGACATGTCCGGGTGCAATTTTGACACACAAGTTATTAGATTCCTTTTTTTTGTAAGATTATTTATTCATACAGAACTGGGGTAGAGGCCAGAGGTGCAGGGGCGGTGAGAGGATTCCCCAGAGACAGAGTGGGGAGCAGAACAGGCAGAGTACACTGCTGAGGGGAGCAGCAGGGAGACCGGACAGGTCTGCTAAGCCATGTGGGTCACCTCCGGGGCCAGGGGTTGAACTCTCACTGAGGCGGCTGTAGCCAGCTTCACAGTGCTGCACTCCAAGCCACTGTGCCACCAGGGAGGGCCCTAGATTCCATCTTAACATGATTAAAGGACTCCAATGACTTCATTATTGTATGTACCAGCTCAGTTTTCAAACTCTATGACATGAGTATGGTCATTACCCCATTTTCTAGGTGAAGAAACTGAGGCACAAATGAACTGACCACTGTGGCCTGCAATCAGTGGGAAGCAGGATGGGAGCCCCGGCTTTCTGACCCCCAAGCCCACAACTCCTGCTGCAGCACCCTAACAAATGAGCGACCCCCAGCTGGCTGGCTTGTAGCACCCTGTCTCCCCACCCTGCAGGCCTGAAGTCTCATGTCAATGTGTGGGCAGGGCCAGCTTCCTCCTCAGGGGTAGAAACCAGGCCCTGCCTCTTTGAATGCACTGAGGCCTCCCTGCTGGCGGCTGCAGCCCTCCCAGTAATGGTAAAGCCCCTCCAGGTGACGGACTCCCATGCACCCCCTCTGTCACTTAGTTGGGGCACACCCCAACATCAAGGATGACTGCACCTCTGGACCTTTTGTTGAACTTCACCTCCAGAGACTTTTTGCCATTCAGGTCACATCTGCACGTTTCGGGGTTATAAGATGTGGACTTATATTCTGAGGAGTCACCATTCAACCCCCCACAACTCTCACCCTGCACCATTATTATTGCACTTGCACACATACATTCCTGCTTCCCACCACCACCCACCCCCCAGTTTGCCCCATCTGACAAGTCTTTTTTTTAATGATTTTTTTATTTATGCATACAAGAACTGGGGTACGGGCCAGAGGTGTGGGTGATGAGAGGATTTACCAGAGACAGAGCGGGGAGCAGAATAGGCAAATCAACTGAAATCCACTGTTGAGGGGAGCAGCAGAGAGACAGGAGAGGTCTGCTGCGCCCTGTGGGTCACCTCCTGGGGCATCGAACTCCCGCTGCAGTGGCTGCAGATACCTTCACAGTGCTGAGACTTAACTCTCTGCGCCCCCAGGGAGGCCTTGACAGGCCTTTTCTTGTTTGGACCCTTTTCTGACACCCCCACTTACATGTCAGATCAAAGTGACGGCCTCCCTCTCTGCCTCCCTGTGCCCTGCTTGATCCCTGAAGCATCCAGCACACAATAGATGCTCAATAAGTATTTGCCAGATAGGAGAATATAAAACAAAACTGTCTGAATTGGGCAGCCTACATCTCAGGTGCCTTCTCATCACCCCTTGCCAAGCTTTACACTACAGTATGTCATCTCTCACAGGCCAACAAGAGCTTGCCCCCCTCACATGATGTATTGCTGGGGTGCCACGGTGGGGGGGGGTAGGGTGGGGAGAAGGGATGCCGGTCAGACTCAACGTAGGACTTTCTGGGAAATGACAGCAGGGGGGTGTGTTGTTGCGAACGTGGAAAACCGCAGGTCTATTCCAAGAAATCTCAAGCAGATCTGAGGGATTTTGTCCACTCTTGAGAGTTCAGTCCAACACCTAACCCCCAACCCACTGCTGCCGCCTCCCCTTCAAGGGCATCTCCAATGGTCAAGCTCTCCAGCCCAACCCACCGCACCCCGAGGCTCCTCCTCTCTTCCCACCCCACATCCGGTCGCCAGACAGCCTCCTCCGCTGTGTCTTGAAAGGTCTGTGTCTTGACAGGTCCGCCGCCGGCTCGCCCTGTCTGCACTGCTTCTGCTATCTCGCCGCTTTTACAGAAATGGGGTACAGCCAGAGGTGCAGGGGCGGTGATAGAGTGGGGCGCAGGACAGGCAGATCGACGAAGTATACTGCTGAGGGGAGCAGCGGGGAGACAGGAGAGGTCTGCTGCGCCCTGTGGACCTCTGGGGCGGGGATCGAACTCGCACTGAAGCCGCCTCTGCTCGGCTTAGCTTCGCAGTGCCGCGCTCCGCAGCGGGGTGGGTCCCACTTACGGTCTTTTCTTCGCCCAGGAGAAGTTGTCTTAGAAATAGGAACCACATCAGGCCCCTCCCCGACCTGACGTTCTCCAATCGTGGCTTACCTTGGGCGGGGCCAAACCCAAGCCCCTCCCCACGTGGCCCCGCCTCTCCGACCCTCGGCGGAGAGCC